CTGAAGACGATTTTCGTTTTCACCAAAAGGCAATTGCTTCTTCACTTCACGCCGTTTCAGCTAAGAGAGGTGTTATAGGGATGCTCTACTTTCGGATAGCTTGAGATACCTCTGCTTGCTTTCTTTCCATAAACAGACTCCTTCCTCAGACTTCTCAGAAAATGGCACCATCACCATCCACCCAACTGATGAAAGAAAACCCTAGGAGCATCCTCTTTCCACTCAATCCTGAAAGTCCAATAGACAGTTCTGTCATGAAGTATTGTGGTCCATCCCAGCTGCCTGCAGTCGGTACAAGCTCTGCTCCCTGCTTCTGTATCTGTACCTTCCCTCCATTCTTCTCTGCATCACAGCCAAAATGATTTTTTGAAAGTACAAACCATTTTTCCTCTCTTCCCTGCTGATTTTAAGTAGCGCTTAAACGAGTGTTCACCTCCTTACCCTGGCGTTTGCAGGCCCCCCGAGCCATCCCCTGCCCACCTCTGACCCTCTCCCCTGCTCCCGGCGGCCCATCCCCTGCACTGCTCCTCCGGGTCCTCCTCCACGGTGGGCTCTTGTTGTGTCACTCAGATGCCACTCTCACTCTCTCAGAGTAGCCCTACCTTAGGAACCCTCCATCAGATCACCCTCTTTGACCTTCGTCATCACATTTATTGTCAGTTGATACATGTTGTCGTGTTTTGTTTCATGTACGGTAAGCCCCAAAAGGCAGGGTCTGGTTCACCACCCCGCCACCAGGGGGGTGCTAGAAGAGCACCTGTCCCAGACCAGGCGCTGAGCCATTGCACTGTCTAAATGCACATCCCACTAGCTGTCAGGCAGCCATGGCTTTGTTTTGGAGCCTAGTAAGATTGGAATTAACCACCCAGAAAGGAAGGGCATGACAAGTCAGAATGACATCTCCACCTAGGCATCATTTTCAGACAGCAAAGTTGGTTAAAATGCCTGTTCCAAAGAGGTCAGCTGCACAGCAAAGAATCACTGCCTTTCCTCTGAGCCGTGGACTCCAGGGCACAGTCCAGCATTTCAGGATCAGTGTCACCAGTCGGCACTCAAGGCCTTTAACATTGCTTCCCTCTATTCCTATAACTGATCGCACTAGATTCCCTGGCAGTGTTCGCCATCAGCAGCGCGTCTCTCCAACACTGCTGAGGTAGAGGCCAGCAGGTTTGGGGGGAGGGATCAACGCAGAGAAAATGAGAGGAATACGGGCTTGGTCTCAGCTGCTGCTGGCAATCAAATTGAAGGTCATGGAGCTCGATGATTGGAGACCAGGTGTGCTTGTGATTTGGAGAGGCGTGAAGGAGAGAGAAAATAATTTTCTCCAAAGAATCTATCTCCATGACCCCCAAGAGTCACTCTTTCAGAACGAGCACAATCTTGAGGTGAGATGGGAGGAAAGCAGTGGACAAGAAAATTAAAATCACCACCCTTTCACTTTGGCCCTCGAGGTGTTTGCGAGTCATCCTCTTGCACAGGGCTTGTGTGATGTTGAGCAGATTGCTTCTTTCACTTGCACTTCTCAGGGCAAAGAAGTGCACCTCTTAGTACTTCCATCACAGAGCTTTATTCCAGCCTCAGACGGCCTGCGCTGCCTGTGGCTTTCTGGTGTTGGTCCACTTTCCTTCTCAGGTTTATGCTGCACAGAACGCCTGCTGGCTCTGCTGGGGGCATAGTGATAACGCAGCCCTGAAATGTCCTCCATTATGTGCCTGCTTCGGATTTCCCTGCACCTCCCTGTGCTCTTTCTTTTCCTGACCAGTGGGCAGGACGCCTCTCGTGGGCGGATGTGACTGTTTGGCGGAGCTTTTGGGGATCAGCTGCCCCACAGAACTCTGCCTTCTTGTGGGGGTGGATGGGCATCCTTTTACTTGCAGCCTGGTTTCCCAGAAGTAGGTACTAACATGTTCTCTGGAAGCATTTTCTACCCTTCTCGTCCTCTTCTATTTTTCCTTCCCTCCACATTGGCCTAGATCTCAAGAAAATTGGTGGCAGAAAAGTAATTTGGGTTGCAGGATCAAAAAGATGACCGAGCCTATTGTGTCTAACCTGGTTCTGAAAGGGAAAGCTTAGAAAATCCCTTAGGTTTTGGTGCTATTAGCATATTTTATTAATGACAGTGAAGAGCTGCAGCTTCTTAAATGGGCCACATAAGGCAGTAGTGGTGGGAAGGGATGATCCCCTCTGCCCTTCCCAGTAGACTGGGCTGAATCAGTCTGGGTCCCCAGGAGTGCTGGGCACAGACCAGAAAAGAAGCCTTGCACTTGTCAGCTGGTGGTTCTCTTCTGGGACTGTAACCCTCTTAAGGTGCCTGAAAACTTTCTGAGGCTCAGTTTAAATAGGTCGTCTACTTGGGCCACCTTGGAGGAGGCAGCCTTCCCCACAAGCCCTTCCTCTTTCTGGGGCATTTGGTCTCTTGGTCCCTGTTCCAGCTGTCCCAGTTTCTGAGGCTTTATAGTGATACAGTCAGGTCAGAAATGGGAAGCAAGAACCGCACAACACTCATAGCCATTTTTGGTTTTATTGTTTACAAAGTACTTCTCACAGTTTCGTTGTACTGTCAGAGGGGTGTTGTAATTTTTATTCCTGTTTTACAGAGAAGAAAAATAAAGTATCTTGCCCACAGTCACACACATAGTAAATGTCAGAGCCACCCTCATCCTTGGCACCTTTTCTGTCTTGAGGGTGGGAGGAGGATGTCCAGTAGAAGTGTTGTTCCTGGTCAGCTCTTGGCCATAAACCAAAGCCATCACAAGGATCCTGTTAGCAGCTGCAGATGCTGTGAACGGGGGAATGAAGTCGCCAAACCTGCCTTGATGGCCTTTGTCTGGGTTGCCCTTGAGAATTGCATTCTGCATATGTGCCCCTCTTTGCTGCCTGAGGCGTTCCCTAAACCTGAACTCTGCCTGCACCTGCTTGTTTAGCACCCAGCCTGGCTTCGCTCTTGCTAGTCTCAAGGTTAGCTGGACCCGACCCCGCTTCCGGGAAACTGCAAGGCATTATTCATGCTCAGTGAGCATCTTAATTTAAGTATCACTTCCTCTTCTTTAAAGGAAAGTCAAGAAGAAAGACCACAAATGCCCAAAGCCACATACTTCCTCTTCTTTCCGCCCTCAGGCCCGCTCTCTCAGGTATCCCTGGGTAATGGCTCTCTTGAAACATGCCCTAAAGTCATCTTGAACCACAGGCTCCCGCATTTGTTCTGTGGGAACTTCCAGAGAGGCAGTTAAAGCGCACGCTGTCAGAACACTGATCCCCGTCGTGGTCTTCACCAGGGCCTGTGGGCTGGGGTGGGGAGGGGTGACGGTTATAGTGTGACAAAGCCCGTCAGTCGATCTCGGTTAACAGTCCCCACTGGGGAATCATGGGTCCCTTGGTGGTAGACAGAAGATGAATTTGTTCTATCATGTGTCTACTTACCGGCCACAGTCTCTCCTGCTTTCACACTTTATCAAAAGGGGTCCACAGTGTCTGTGGTTTCCCCATCTGCCGGGGAATCTGAAATTGAAATTTAACCGGGCATCCTGTATTTCATTTGCAAAATTTGATGACCTGACCTTGAGGGCTTATGTCAAGCCTACAAGCAGGCCCTGCCCTTGTGTTTCCAGCCATTCTGGCCCCTCCTTGGTGATTTTGACACAGCAGCTGAGTTCCTGACCCCAGACCAGGTGGTAGTTAGTAGTTGCTGATAACGTGCCTCAAGAGAGCTGACTGTTCCCCTTGGATTGATTGTCCTCAGAACCCTGACAGAAGCTGGCTTCCCGAAATGATGGTGACAACTCTGCCATTTTCTTGAGCACCTGCTCTGTGCTAGGCATAATATGTACACTATTGAATTTAATCCCCACAGCAGCCCTTCAGAGTAGGAATGATTAAGGATGATTACCTTTTTTGGGGGGGCGGGCAAATTAGGAAACAGAATTAGCAAGGTTACGTGGCTTACCCAGAGACACAGCCAGCAAGCCGCAGGGTCGGGATTCAAGCTGAGACCTGCCACCCTTTCCGTAGTGAGGTATAGGGCTAGTGGCCGCAGGCCTGGCTGGAGAGCGGATGGGCTGGGCTGGGTTGCTCCTCACAGGGTGCTGTGGGCAGGCAAGCGAGGCCCTGAACTCAGCAAAGGAACACAGGGTCCTGAACCTGGTAACGTTCTCACCCTAAACGTAATGACCTTGTAATGACAGATGCACAGTGCAACAAAGGAAAGATTAGTGCAGAGATTCAATTCTGCCTCCCGTTTTCAGTGGCAGTTTTGCTCTCTCAACAGATTAATTAGCAGCAGAGATCCCCTCCCCCCAGGCAAGCGGCAGCACAGTTCACAGCCAGAAGGTGCACGAAAATGCAGCTGTGTCTCATTCAGCGGCCAGCCTTCTCGCAGTGCCTGCTGCTTCAGCCCTGTGCTTCCTTCTCACCCTGCCTGGGAGGCCGACGGAAGCCTTGTCTGCTGAGCCTGGCCAAGATGAGGGGCAAACCACCAGCTTTTAGGGGACCCTGTGTGTGAGCCATGGATGGCAGAGGTGCTTGACCTCGTTCCTTTGGAGGAATTTAAGGAAAGACCTCTTCTGTCGTCCTCGCAGAAGCACCCTGGCTGCATCTGGGTGGAGGACACAAGGAGAGGTGGGAAGGGTGAGGGGAAGGAAGGAGCTGCAGGTAAATACCTTCGACGGTGAGCGCTCTGCGCACCTCAGCCCACTTCACCTTCCCTGCAGCCCCAGGAGGTAGTTCTTACTGGGTTTCTTCCATTTGTAGAGGCACCTTTTCCCACATTTTGATGTGTGTGTGCAGGGTACATAGCTTTCTCTCCCCACCACCTCAGCACACCGCCAAGGCCAGGAAATGTGGTGTCACTATTTTGCTGCTGAGAAAAACGACGCTCCTTGACCAGCATGGTCCGCTAATGTCTAACCAAGCCAGGCTCTGAACCGGGGGGACAGGACAGGACAGTGCAGGGGAGGCATTTTCTTTTACTGCATCTGCTGACAGATACCTTCATTTTCTTCCAGGTACATTGAACGGAAAGCTTTTCTAGACCGAGTGGATCACAGGCAGTTTGAAATCGAGCGAGATCTCAGGCTGAGCAAAATGAAACCCTGATGTGATGAGGAACCTACAGCAGCTTAATCCTGTTTACAACGTGAGCTTTTTGTGCGTCTTTGAAATGTTTCCCGTGTTTCCCATTGACTTTCCCAGCAAGGTCTTTTTTTCTACATTGAATTTCTGTCTTTGTATCTTGATCTCATGTGATTTCATTCATTTTACTTTTAATAGTTGGTCTTTTAAAAAATAAAAATAAAAAGTACAGGTTGGTCCTGTGAGAGGCTGGTGAAGATGACAGCACTCACCTTTCCTTTGTTCTGCTACAAAGTCCACCAGGCCAAGCCAGCACCTCCCAGGCATGTACTGGCCGCCATGGTGGAGAGAGTGACCAGCCTGCACGCATGTGAACCCCCAGAGGCTGTAGGGCTCTCTCTGAAGAGGCTCGCCAGTGTTGCTGGAACACCAAGTCTCCGGGCAGCTCTGTTCTCAGTTCCACTCCTGCTTCTCTCCTGATCTCTTTCTCCTGAATGGGATTCCTATTTGCTGGTATAATGTGAGGCTGAAAATAAGGATACACTATTGCTGCATTAGGGATTTTTCTTTTCCTTCAGCCATTTTCATGTTCTCAAAGTCAACTTCACAAGTGCTCTCACCTCAGTAATGCTTTAATTTTTGGTTTGTCAAAGAAGACTCCAAAGGACTTTTTTTTGGTTAACTCTTTAGAAAAATTTAAATTCCAAACTTCATATTAATAAGGCAGTAAACACCACATCCTGCCCCTGTGGGCGGGCGGTGGGGATGTCCTGAGTAACACAGACAGGTCTGGGGGGAGGTAGGGTTCCAAAGACTGGAATTCAGAATTCTTCCTGGACATCTACCAGCTCTGTGACCTTGAACACAGTTCAGCTTTCTGAACCTTCATTTTCTGGTCTGTAAGTGCCCTGAGTAATACCAGAACCTCACAGGGTCGAGATGAGCCAGTGACATGTGCAGGGAACACGCACAGGTCTCCCCCTCCAGTCCTCTAATATGTGGGCAGAACCTCATGCAACCAAGACCTGATTGTCAGCCCTGCATGGCTGTGAGGTCATGACCCTCATTACTCACTGAGGCCGGGCTGGGTGGTTGGGCTGATTGAGGTGTGTGGTGCATCTTCAGTTGAGAGTCATCTTTCCTGTCAGAGTCTTCTTTGAAACGTAGCCCACAGTTTTTAAGAACAGGTGGATAATATTTTATCTAGCTCTTCACATCCACACTTAGTGAAAACTAATCTGCCTGACTCCCAAAAGAAGTGACATCTCTTTATCTAGGAGTCGGGAATTGCCAAGGAAAATGTTTGCAGGAAGTGGGGGCCTGAGTCAGCGCTGGGAGGCAGCTCAGTAGCCCTTTGCCGGGCACCGTGCGCCTCCCTTGTCCGTGGCATGGATGACTGAGGAGGGCAGCCAAGGATACTTCCTGCTGGTCTGTGGAGTCCAGAGAATCCCTGAGAGATGAGTTTCCTGGCCTTGCTCCTGCCATCAGTCTTTGTCTTCTTGTCCCAGATAAACGCATCACATTTCCAGAGCATCTGTTACCTTCCCATTACTGAAAAAAACTGCCCTAAAACAGCATAAGGTCGAAGAATAAAAACAGCCTTCTCTGTGTGTTCTGTTCACCTATTTCCCAAGGAACGCAGTCCTCTAATTAGGAGCGCTGCATGAGGTCCCTAGGGGAGAAGGGCCGCATTAAGAACTAAGTCTTGGGCTTCCCTGGTGGCGCAGTGGTTGAGAGTCCGCC